GAAAACCAACTTCGATGCTACCACGCATGCCCAATCGAGCACGAGTCGTCGTCCACATGTCGTTCAGGGCGCCATTTGCCGCCATTCGCCGTCTTGACGAGAAGGTGAGTATGTTTTATTTGTTTTCTAATTTCTACTTACCTATCTAAGGGATTTCTTCAATCTAAAGGGTCGGTTAGGGAATAAAAACAGTGCCGAAAGTAATTTGATCGAACCGTGATGGAAAAAAAACTTTATTTTTTTCGAGTTGCAGATTGAGCCTCACAGTTTACAGCGGAGAAAGCAATGGCGGATGATGATAAAAGTGCTGCAGGGTATGTACGTAGACTTATAAATGCTTTTGTTAATATAAATCGCGGACATTTCGTTATAGTTTTGTAATTTATACCATCTAGCATTTTTAAGAAGATTTCTTGGCTTTGAAAAATATCCGAACCGCTCGGATCGACTGTGTATGTAAACTTAGCTTAGCTCTGAATCACTTGACGTTGATTACAACACTGAAAAAAAGTTAAATTGTTTTAGTGGATAATTTTTGCATTTTCAAATAAGCAGTAAAGGACTCGTCCACGTAGCCGATGTGCTAAAGTCTTTATGTTTCCCGCCGTTGAGGACGGTCCCGTCCCAGGCCTAAATCGGTCATATACGTCGTCGTCCACGTTCTCGTCGTCAGTGCTAAAGGTCCCTATTAAAGTTATTACGGCACGACAGTCCGACAGTCAGACCGAGCATCCTTCAAACATTAGATATGTTTCTGTGAGAATGACTGAATGTAAGACTGTAATGACTGAATGACAGAGATGTTGAAATAGTACACATACCGAGATCATGAATTTTTCATCTTTATTCAAGCATTTGCAAAATGTTCTAAGCAATAAGTTGAGCATGCATGTAAGAGATTGTTTATACGAGACAAAAATATATTTTGCATTCCATTTACATTCCATATAGTTGAAGAAACGGATTGCCCAAACCGCTTTTAAACTAATTAACCCAATGTAAACGGAAATTGTTGTTCAACTCTATGGCTTTGGGAAGACACATAATATCGATATTTTGTTTACTTTTACAGATTAGCCGGCTAACCGTCTTAAGAGTCCCTGTCTATAAATATGGAAAATAACTCGGCAAAGGTAAAAAATTTGATTTCGGTCAAATTTTTATGGTTGATAGGCTAGGACATGACAAAAATAACGGGATAGTATTTTAGGCAAAATATCCCTTCATTTCAAGGAAATATGCAAATTACCAAATTCAGTTAAAATTGTCATTTGACGCGCTATTTTTTTAAACAAGTTTGAGAGCCTCACATGCAAAACCACATTAGTATTCCGTCTTTAAAACACTCAAATATTTTTTTTGCAATGTTCAAATGTGTACTCGGTTGGTTTGGGGAAATGCTGCGTTATTTTTTGGAGGCAAAATAGTTCAATTTCGAACGCATGTATTTCATTCACTTAAAATTACTTCGAAAAAATAATTGGTTTTCACCATGTGCGAAACCTTCAAATGGATTAACCTTCTTGTGGTTGAATCGCCGAAGGATGGTCTACAGATTCCTGTAGAAACTTCTTGGGCAAATGATTATGAGCGACGCGAGAGCTTTTCAAAGTACGTTAAGAATGCAAATATTTGCCATCTGCATCACATCTTAATTGACGGGTTAGACATATATTTCAGCATCCGCCACATGTCTTGACCTAAATAGACAGTTTCGAAATGTGTTGTCACCCTATTTACCGTGAAAGGCAGGTTCAAAGGCCGATTTGACGTGTTTCTTTCACCATTCGTCGCATTTTAAGCGGTCAAGTTTGCCTCTGTTCACACAACGTCCGTTGTGCGTTTCCAACTGTCAACTTAATCGATGGTCGAAAACCAGGAATCTGTGATCATCTTTCGGCGCATATGATTACCGCTGCATCTATTTAAGTCAACAATGGCTAAATCATTCGTGGATAGTTGCTTGCTATGTACGTTTTAAACCAAAATATTACACTTTATTGCTGGCCATTGCTCCCAAGCGTGTCGGCGCTCGCAGCACATTCTTACTATACTGAGGTCGTAATTTGCTCGTCATGCAATGCAGTCACGGCATCTCATTTTAGCGGAAGGGTATATAATTAAAAAAAAAAGGAAAATAAAATGATTGTAATAATCATAATAATAATAATAATAATAATAATAATAATAATAATAATATTAAGAATAATAATAAAAATATTGATAATAATGATAATAATGATGATAATAATGATGATGACGATGACGACGATGATGACGACGATCATGATGATCATGATGATTATAGCGGCCAGAAGTGCTCTGACCAACCCCCTGGGTAGCAGATTGACCCTTCCCCATACACGCGACATGGGCCTCTCCAGCTGGGTGCCAAGTTCTGCCAACGCAGAACCAACNAAGAACAATGATTCCGGAGCAGATTGTCCAACAGTACCAGAATTACCGCCATGAGACTGGCTTTGTCCCGATAAGCCGCTCTACACTGTGTAGGATTCTTAAAGTATGTTCTGCCTCTGTCCGCAAGTCTTTGCAAGGACTTGACTATGTCTCAGCTGAGGGTGCAAAGGCTTTTGATGAATTAGCGGCTGCCATTGAGAATCTGGGCGACTATAGCAAAGGTCTCTCCTTGGCAAAAAGCCAATATGAAAAATGAAAGCAGACAAAACGCTATCTTAAAGGCGATGTTAAGGTAGGACTGCTAAAGATACGATACATTATTAAGAGAAACACATTGCTTATAACATATGTCTATAAATCCCCTTGGTTGTACATGTTATGGATGACATCAACATATAATAACCATGTAATGTATAACTAGGAGCAATACCCTTAAGACTAAGACGCCAGTTTTTACCCTTGGAGAAGCAGGAGCGGCTGGCAGAGTGGGAGAGGGAGGCGAGGCAGAGCAAACCCTTCCACGGTCTTTTTCTTCTTTTTAGAAGGAATAGATCATTGCAGCGAGGTGCTTAAAATTTCTGCGACTTTCATTTGTCGCCCAAGGACAATTTGACATCACTGTTAATCCATGATTCTTCATACTGCCATAAATAACCGTGTTTTGACGCAAATAATTGAACGAATTTTCCATTTTTAGGCGCGATTCCCCATTGGAAATAGGTAGATAAATATTCCTTCGATATGGTTTATTTGTAGGTACATGTATCGCCAAGTTCCAGAGTTCCAGATCACTGTAGGGCTTACGCCCTTAGCTATCGGGCTGACCCTGATTACATCAACCCCTGTGATCGTGCGCACGACCTGGCATGTGATCGATGTAAGCTGTTTCCGAATGTAGTCCACGAAGCTGAGTCTGCCTTAGAAAATGCTGAACTCTCCAGCGATGAGAAAGATGAGATTAATTATGTATTTTCTCTAGTTAAGAAAAGAATCAAAGCATGGAAAGCCCATTTGCTCAGATCAATCAACCAAGATGAGGCGCGACTGGATGTTTTAAAACATTTAGATGCTTATTCGGTGCTTTTGGTCTTAGATTGGGCCATGAAATACCTCCCAAGAAAATGCCGCGTAAGCCAAACTGATTGGTTTGGAAAGCGAGGTATTTCATGGCATATAACCACGGCGACGAGGATAGCCGAAGGTCAACCTCAAATACTGTCATTTGTTCACGTTTTTCAAAGCTGTAACCAAGACAGTGTCACAGTTTTGGCCATCGTCGATGACGTCCTTAAACGACTCAAGAGCACAATGCCCAACATAAATAGTGTTCATTTCAGACAGGACAATGCCGGATGCTACCACAGTGCTTCCACATTACTGGCAATTCCGCAGGTAGCTAAGAAGTACGACATCAATGTCAGACAAGTTTTCGGATCCACAAGGGGGTAAAGGGTCTTGCGACCGCAAAGCAGCCGCAGTTAAGAACCATATGAGAATATATCTAAACTCTGGCCAAGATGTCGAGACTCCAGAACAAATGAAGAGTGCCGTAGAGTCCTCAGGTGGCATGCCTGGAGTATGGGTTATGCTACGCAACACACAAAATATTCCCAAGTCAGTCCATGTGAAATGGGAAGGTGTTAGCTTTATCCATAACATTGAATATGGCAATGAGGGAATGAGAGCTTGGAGGTCATATGCGGTTGGCCCAGGTAAATTCCTGCCGTGGAGTCAGTTTTATTTCCCGGAAAACTACTCTGTTCCAATGCTGACCATATTAAAAGAGGCCAGAGATCCAAAGGCTACATTTACTGCGAGGAAAAAATCGCCCCAAACCCAGCGAAGAGAGGAGCAATTGGGATCGGGTGTTGGGGAAGCTTCGGATGAACAAAATGAGAACGACATTGAGTGTCACTGTAAACTGTTTGCATGTCCTGAAGAGGGTTGTGTAAAATAACTTCAAAGATTTTCGTCCCTTGAACATCATCTAGACGTTGGAAAGCACAAGTATGCCATTGAGAGCCTAACTCTTCTCAATAGGGCAATGATGTCCTATGCTTGAAAGCTAGAACAGGGTGTTGCCACTGTTGATAATCCTATAGAGGGTTCTGGCACAGCTAAGGCATCACATTCTCGTTCATCGTTGTCAATGGGCTGGGCGTTGAAATCCTCCGTTACTCAAAGAATCCGACTGACTGAAAACCAAAAATAATACCTTACAGAAGTATTTAAAAGAGGCGAAGAAACTGGAAAGAAAGCTAATCCCTCCAATGTTTCTAAGTCAACGAGGAAAGTCGGAAACGCAGATGGCCTTCTAGATTTGATGCTTCGAGTTATTTAACTTCTCAGCAAGTAGCAAGTTTTTTTTCACGCCTTGTTTCAAAGAAAGCTGTTGAAACTGATGAATTTGAGGACAAAGAAGATGAATACGCCGAAGAGCTGAATAAAATTCATGGAAAGAACATACAAGACTTGAGTAACGAAGTCATGGCGGAAATATCACTTCAGCATCCGATCATGTACGATACGCATAACATTTGTGAAATCGCAGCTTGTTCTAGACTAGCAAAGTTTTCTGTGCAGATGCTACAAGACATATGTAATTTTTATCAGCTGGACATCTCAACAATCAACGTGAAACGAAAGAAGCCTTACATAGACCTTCTGACGAAATTGGTTNTTAACATACAACGCATATCAAATAGTTTAGGCCCTTCCACTGAACAGATGCAAATTTTTGAAGCTGAAGATTAGCACAGAAGTGAAAAACTACAAAACTTATTTGTGTTGGTACAGAGGTAGTCTGTGACAAGTATGCAAACAAATGTTACTGACACATGCTTTTTTTAAAATCTACCTTCTCTGAAAAAAAAAATAATCTGACTGAAATCAACAACATTATTTTGAATGGAAAGAGTATTTGGTGTGTGTGAAGCAGTTAGGCTGAATTAGACAACTATATTGTGGTAAATTCTACTAGCAAGAAACACAGGCTTAGCCATTTTCTCCATTTCCTGACCCTGCTGCCAACCTTTTCCTTGTCAGGGGTGAAAATACCAGTAAAAAGAAAGATCCTTTTCGTAAGTGGTGTGGCCTTGTTGGAGAAATAAGGTCTCTTCTGCCACAAGAAGTTCCACTATTGGCCTTGACTGCAACTGCTACAACAGCCACCAGAAAGAAAATCATGGAGCTCTTTAGTTTCAGACAAGGTATTCAAATCATTGTCAGCCCAAATAGGAAGAATGTGAAATTGATTGTTAAAAAGGTAACAAGTGACATTGTTCGTAATTTTTCTTGGTTGGCTGAGGAGGTTAGCACAAAAGGGGTTGAATGTCCAAGAACTTTGATTTATGTCAGAAATTATCAGACTTGTGGAGAACTTTATAACTTTTTCATTAACACCCTACAAGATAAAGCCTACTGGCCCACAAGTTCCCTGAGAAAATCGGCAAATAGGATGATTGCAATGTATCACAGTGGAACAACATTAAAAATCCAGCAGCATGTCATATCATCTTTGAAATATCCACATGGCAGTGTTCGAATCATCATTGCAACCAGTGCTCTTGGTATGGGAGTGGATATGAAAGGTTTGCACCGGGTTATTAATTACGGTCCTCCAAACACTATTGAAGCATATGTGCAGGCATTTGGTAGAGTAGGTAGGGATGGGGCAAATTCTGAGGCATTACTTCTCTTTCATGGTCATCAACTTCGACTTTGTGAACCAGAGATGCTGGATTTTGTTAAGTGTACAACTTGTCGAAGGGAAAACATTCTTACTTTTTTTGATGACATTGGTGAAAACAGTGAAGTGATTCCAAAACACTTATGTTGTGACATTTGTGAAAATGACTGTCAGTGTGGAGAGACAGAATGTCAAGGGAACACAGAAAGCATGACTTTCCTCATGTCCAAGGTAACAGAACCAACATCAAACCTACATGTACGAGATGTAACAGAAAGTGAGAAAGAAGAACTTTGGAGCCTGCTCAAGGAATGTCAGGAAGAAATGAGACAGGAATTTCAACAGTCAAATCTGCACTGCCTGTATTCTAGTGTTGACCAACTCACTTGTTTCTCAGACAGTCTTATAAATGAAACAATTGATAATTGTGATAAACTTAATTCTGTGGAAAGTATTTTAGAGACACTTTCTGTATGGAATGGTGACCATGCCATCAAGATTTTTGATTGTCTCAAAATAGTATTTGACGATCTACAATAATTATTACCAGATGAGTAGGATTTTTCTTTAAGATACAGGAAAGTTTACACATGTAATTTTAGTTACTGTAGGATTATTTGTGAAAACATTCCGAAACGAAGATTGTTACTTTAAAACATGTATTGGTCTCTCAGGAGTTTCAGAACATTCCTGTATGATGCAAGTTGTTGTTTTCTTGGCATTACATGGAAATGCTTCAAAAGCATATAACTTTTTCTAACTTGATGACTCCTAAAGGAGCCATTGGTATAAAGTTCAGTAAGGTTGCCCATAGATTTGGTCTTTAAATTGCAGCTGTGGGAAAATACTCGATGGCGGCATAAACCACATACCCATCTAGAACTGTACTAAAGAATAACTCACATCCATGATAAGATTTGTTCACCTTCTCATCAACATCTTTTCTGTTCAGTTTGCATTTAAGATGAAACAACGTGCCTGGGTACAGCATGATAAACAAACAGCACCAAGTCTATAGGTTGGGTGGCAGAAATTTGATTTGCAGCAGCAAAATAATTTTTGACTGTTTACAGCTGAAACGTTCTGAAGTGAATAGCAAGTACTATTCACTTAGCAGCTGATGAGACAAAATCTCATGTCAAGACTTTCATTTCTGACTATTTTTCAGTATAGAGTAATAAACCTCTTTTTTGGTATCTTTGTGGTACATACTAAACAATTTACTGGATATTTACTGGGCCCCTTCATGGCCTGGTGACTATTCACCTCCAGTTTGGTTGTTATGTTAACATGTTGTCTAATAGTAGCTCTTGCAGAAAGTAATATCTCTGCAAGTTTTTCACCAGGATTTAATAATAAAGCTGGAAAAGGTTACTGCAATAAAAACCAACCTGGAGCACATTCATTTCACAATGAAAGTCCTCATGCTTCAAGATAAGTCCTTCAAGCCTTTCAAAAGGGGTGTCTGAGTCAGAAACTGCTGCAGTGGCACTAATACCACGTTCAACTGTTAAATGGTCACCACCAAATGCGACTTTGTGGAGGATCTTGTAGTGGTTATCTGTATTGGTCTCTTTGGTCTTTGGCACATATTCCATGTTGCAGTGCTGTAAGATTTCAAACATTTCATGGCTTTTGTTTTCATTCTTCTCAAGGAGGCCAAGGTGCATCTGTTGAATAATAAAAAAACTGCTTGGTAAATAAATTTAAACAGTGTATAGCAATACCAGAAAGCAATAATGAGAAATGATACGAGAACTATTTGATTGTTTCATAGTTAAAATGCAACTTTTAATATGTATTTTAACATCAAGAACATTGANTGTAACTAATATTCTTATGACTTACTACGTGAGTTTCTTTTCTCATCTCCTTGCTGAATTGGTGAGGGATATGACCTGGAACAAGTCTTGAAAACTGTTTAAAGTAGTTGCAGTGTTTAACCAGAATACGCAACACCAAAATAATGTAGTCTGCACGTAGATTTGAATGTTCCTCGAGTGAGGGAAGGAAGCTTGAATTAGGTAAATCCAGGACAGGTCTTATTGGCTTACTATCATCCAAATCCCAGCAGCTAACTCTGTTCTTGTAACAGAGCACATTAAACCAATGGATAGACTCAGTGCCCATGTGTGAAGAATAGATGGATGGCCTTCTCTGCCAGTCAAGGTTGTCTCCATTTAATCCATAATCAATGGGCAAATCACTGCTGCTGTCTGAAGTTATCTCCAGGTTTTCCATCATGACTGTTTCCCCTTCTTCTGCCTCAGATAACGATATTTCTGATGAATCACTGCAGCTATCAGTGTACTCTGATACTGATAAAGCACTGCTAGGATCAACTAGTATAATAACAAAAAAAAAACTTCCAATAAGAAAGTTTTAATGTATTCTAGATGTGACATGCTTTTCAGAGATTGTAGATAAAGTACAAGTTAGCCTGAGAAAATATATTATGGAAGTAGATAGCAACAAGTAAGTTGAGTAAAGGTGACATGCAGTGGTGTATCAATGAGAGAGCATTTGTGTCACAGTTAGTTTAACTGGGAAGGGGCATCTAATTTTTAATATGTAATGTTCAAGTCTCATCTGCATCAGTGACATTGTTTGAAATAATGTTATGATGTGTGTCTGAGAACATCATTGACATTTTTTTCTACTCACCACTGAAATAAACTTGATCGCGAGGGCCATTCATCGTCACTCTCTTTTCATAAGGAATAGTTATATGAGTCTGAGAAACAGCTGAACCCTGCATGGAGGACATATACCATTACCTTTTACACTCATTTTATTTTCAACTGATTTTGCCTAATTCACAAATAATTATGGGGCTAAGAGTCAAAAGAAATGGATGTTAAACCTTGGTTGAAACTTTTAACCTGAAAACATCATTTATTGATGAATAACATGGACCACAAAGTAAATGTCCCATGACACTTGAAAGAGCTAGATCTTGCAAAATGGTCCCAAAGAGACAGTGACTAAATCACAGACAGGTGTAAATTTATTAACAAAAAAAAAAAAAAAACGACAACAACAACTTGGGTATGTGCACCTGCTGTTGATCGCTAAATAAGGACGTTGTGTAGAAAAGAGGAATTTTTGGCACTATGAGCATTGCTCATAATTTTTTTGCTGAAAAATTCTTAATTATTCAAGCATGATTATGAACTCTTCAACTTCTTTGAGTTTATTCAAGCAATTTAAATACAAGGGACTATTTTGCAAAACCTTGATTCAGAAATATGTTTTCTCTATTAATTTTAATCAAAATACTGGTAAGAAAAATTCATGTACATAGCAATCAAATAGTATTATTTATTACAAAGGTATTTAATTATAATCTAGTTAAAACTGTACCTGTTGTTGATTTTGAGATGAAATTGAGGACTCTGAGGTTGGTGTGTTTCTTGCCATTTCTATGGAAGCTCTCCATGACTTGAATTTCTTCTGGTAGTATTTTGCAGCCTCTTTGATCTTTCTATTAGTGCTCTCCCTACTCATGCACATGCCTAGCTTCTGAAGTCGAATGAAACCCTAAATGATTGAAAATGAGTCCAAATTGTGTGCATGATTGATTTCTAGGCAGTGACAAAGGCATACCATCCTTTTTGGAATCTGTCACCTTCCAGTGACGCTGGTGAGATGCTGACTAGCTGAGATGCTATGACTAGCTGATTAGCAGTGACTAGCTGAGATGCTCTCCATTGATCAATGAGATAATTTTGAACCTACAGTTAAGCCATATTTTAAACTTAGCAATATTTTAAGTTCCAGCATGTGATAATCATCCTTCACATTGCTAGGATAAGAACAATTTATTGTAAACAAAACAATTTTACGTATGATGCACAATCCTCGCAGTAGATAGCGCTATTTAAGCAATAGCGAAAATCAGACCTGAAAAAAATCAGGCCTGTACGGGATTCGAACCACTGACCTCTGCGATACTAGTGCAGTGCTCTTACCAATTGAGCTAGCAAGCCAACTGGGAGCAGGCCGTTAAGTCGATTCGTAATAAACCCGTGAAAGTGATAAATCAGGTACAATGAAATATATGAAGTTCATATATTTTGAACTGCGGTATCAGTGCCTTGCGCAACTGTTTGGATTTAAAAGCTGCCGAAGCAAAAGCTGATGTGGTCCCAGCCTTGCAAAGAGCAATCCCCAAGCTTTGCAAATTTGTTGGCAGTTCCTTTCAAATGGTTTTTTGGGAGTAATGAGCAATAATCTGAATGTGAAAGATGGGTAAGGTTATTAAATACATTATTTATGGAAACATTCAAAAAGGAAATTAACCATAAATCTTATTGGAAATGTACATGTCTGTAGGCAGGGCTGGTATTAAGTTTTTATCAATTTTTCAAGGCTGCATTTTGATTCAGGGGCGTGTCTGCATTTGTATTAGCTATTTCTCTCATTTTCCAATGAAAACACAGATTATTGTATAGTAGTGGCAACTGTTTTATATCTGGCTATTTATTGAGGTACTATAATGACACACTTTGTAAAATGTCAGCTTAGTACAGGGTCATCTACCCACATCTAATAAACAAAAGTTTCCACGCTTAGCTTTTCTTTTTGTTCAACATAGGTT